ATACTAACACACAATAATACTAAAAAGTGAAATTATATTTTTTTAAAGAGGAGGCTAGAGAGATGGTTCAGCCATTAAGAAGTACTGGCTACTTCCAGAGAACCCAGTTCAATTCCCAGCACCCACATGGCAGTTTACAACTATCCACATAATTCCAGTTCAGAAAATCCAAGCCCTCTTCTGTCCTCTGAGGGTACTGCATTGCATGCACATAGGGTACTGATATACATGCAGGCAAAATACCCATAGACACAGAATAAAATAAATCTGAAAAAAAAGAAGGAAGGAAGGAGAGTCAAATAGGGATAACATGAAAGAAGGAAAGAAAGAAAAAGAGAGAGAGAGAGGGAGGTCATAGACAAACAGACAGCAGACAGGGGCTGGGCGGTGGTGGTACATGCCTTTAACCCCAGCAGTCAGGAGGTAGAGGCAGGTGGAACTCCAAGTTTGAGGCCATCCTGGTCTACAGAGTGAGTTCCAGGACAGCAAAGGTTACAGAGAAAAAAAAAAAAGGTAGATAGGTAGGTAGATAGATCAATCATCTGGGAATAACACAAATCCCTGAACAATAACAAAAAAATCTAAATTCAATTACCAGTACCACAAAAAACAAAGACAAGGTAACAACAAAAGGAACTGTACTTTAAGAAAACTTTCCTTAAAGAAGAAAAAACTTAGCCAGGCATGGTGGCGCACGCCTTTAATCCCAGCACTCAGGAGGCAGAGGCAGGTGGATCTCTGTGAGTTCCAGACCAGCCTGGTCTACAAAGTGAGTTCTGGGACAGCCAAGGCTATTATTACACAGAGAAACCCTGTCTCAATCAAACTGAAAAGAAAAGAGAAAGAAAAAATTGTATCCCACATTTTGCAAAAGCACGGTGGTACTTAAGAATATCAACCCAGTCTGTTACACAGAGAAACGCTGTCTTAGGTGGGGGCCTATCAAGCCAGCCTTTCCCACCCCCTGGCCATCTTGGTGGCTGCTCTTGGTTGGGAACTGGCCCGAACCTAAGGCAGGAAGATGGTGCTTCAAAGAGGATGAAAAGGTCTCTGGAGTCCATCAAGTCTAGGCTCTGACTTGTTATGAAGCGTGGAAAGCACCAGGCGTGGTGGTGGCACACACCTTTAATCCCAGCACTCAGAAGTCAGAGACAGGAGGATCTCTGTGAGTTAGAGGTCAGCCTGGTCTAGAAAGCCAGTTCCAGGACAGCCAAGGCTACACAGAGAAACCCTGTCTCAAAAAAAAAAAAAAAAGAAAAAGAAAGAAAGAAAAAAACATGCTAGGAAACAAACGGATCGACAATGGCAAGGCAAAGGGAAATTAACCATCCTCGCTAGCCCCCAGCTTTGAGGAATCTGAAATAGAATATAGTGGCCAAAACTGGTGCCACCAAGTACAGTGGCAATAATATTGGATTTGGGCACAGACTGCAGAAAATACTCCAGAGTGTGCACACTGTCTGTCAGTGGGGCAGGAGGTCCTAACACCATTAGAAGCAAGCTGAAACAGACCAGTAGAAAGTAAAGTTCGTTTTCTTTAATAAAAGTCCCTAGAGCTTAGAAGAGATCACTTCAACTGGGTGGTGGTGGCTCTTGACTTTAATCCCAGCACTTGGGAGGCAGAGGTGAGCAGATCTCTGAGTTTGAGGCCAGCCTGGTCTACAAGTGAGTTCCAAGACAGCCAAGGCTATACGGAGAAGCATTGTCTCAAAACAACAACAAAAAACCACCTATAAACAAAAACTTGCACAAGAACAGTCACAACATTATAGTTCATATCCACAAGAAAGTGGAAATATTAGATGCCCATCTTCTAACCAATAACTAAATAAATATATATTATTATATGTAGTTGGAAGTTTTACTGTGTTGTGGCCGGCGGTCAGGACAAATCTCTCCCACTCGCGTCCCCCAAGTAAACACACAGAGGCTTGTATTCATTATAACTGCTTGGCCACTAGCTCAGGCTTATTACATCTTAAATTAACCCATTTCTATAAATCTATACTTTGTCATGTGGCTTGTGGCATACCAGTACTTTTACATCTTGCTTCTTCTGTGTCTAGCTGGCGACTCCTGACTCAGCCTTCCTCTTTCCAGTACTTTCCTTCTCTGCTTATCCTGCCTATACTTCCTGCCTGGCTATTGGCCAATCAGCATTTTATTTATCAACCAATCAAGCAACACACATTCACAGCATACAGATCAACATCCCACAGCAATTCAACAATTGAACAGAAATTAATATATAAAAAATATGCTAAGTGAAAAGGCCAGGCACAAAAAGGTGAGACAGTTTTTTTGTTTTTTGGGGGGTCTATTTGTTTGTTTTGGGGGGGTTGAGACAGGGTTTCTCTGTGTAGCTTTGGAGCCTGTCCTGGAACTTGCTCTGTAGACCAGGCTGGCCTCAAATTCATTGAGATCCACCTGCCTCCCAAGTGCTGAGATTAAAGGCATGCGCCACCACCACCCAGGTGGTGAGATACTTTTGATTTCATTGTTCTGAAATGTTTAGAAGAAGCAACTCCACAGAAAGTAGGGTTGTTGTGGGGCAGAAAGACAGGGAATTTTAGCTGACTGTCAATAGATTTCTTTTTGATGATACCAGAAGTGTTCTCGAGTTAAACAGTGGTAACAAATAGTTAGACTACATATGGAATACACTAAAACCACTGAACTGTACAATTTAAAATGGTAAAGTTTGTGTTACGCAAATTATATCTCAATTTTTAAAGACATCAACATGGGGCAGGAGGTGGGGTAGTATCTCAGTCATAGGACACATGCTTAATAAGCATGAGACCAGGTTCAACCTCCAGCACAAGAACAATAAATAAACTCATCATTTTTTTTAAATCTAAAATAAAGTCTCTTCTAACAAACTAACAAGAAGTCACAGTATTCTCCACACAAAGGACTCCAACTTGCAGCAGATTCTCAACCCAGACAGTACCTTCACAGGCTTTGGCTAGAACTACGCCATCCCAAAGCACTGGTAGACAAAGGCAAGATTTTGATCAATGAACCTGACAGGATACCATACAAACACACCACTCTTTTCTTGTTTGTAGATTTGAACTACTCTAGCTATTCCTGCTAAAAGATATAACTGAGTGTTATATATATATATATATACTGTAGAATAAGAATTTTTAAAAGTAAATAATATGGCATAAGAATACATACATTATATAAGAATTTGTTTTGAAATAGGTAAGTGAGCAGCCAAGGGATCAATTATCTGGCCATCCTGAAAGGAAGAAGATTCTACTTTAGATGTTAAGAACCATTTCTGGCACAAGTTTTCCTACCAACATCTAAATCCTTCACTTGTCCCTCCACAATGTATTCACCTCTCAACCAGTCTGCATAGACCAGAGGAAAGAGTGGGTGGGTCAAGAGCCAGAACCTAGCCTCGAACACTTACTATGTGCCACATACACAGCTGAGCATACTTGATCTCATTCTCCTGATAATCTGCAGGCTATTTGTACATTTCACAAGTGAGAAAACTGAGTTTCCCAGAGGTTGAGTGATTTGTACAAGGATATTCACCAGAAGAATTAAAATTCAAACTCACATCTAGATGCCTTCTAATGATGCTATACAAAGTAAACAGCCTTACAGCCTCCAAGTTGCATTTGTCTAGAAAAGCCGACACCTCCCTGAGCAGTCTAATTTCTCCTGCCTCCATCTTCAAACTGATGCACACTAACTCATCAACAACCACCAGGCTTCATCAAGTGTAAGCCAGCCCCTTTTTGCTCTTGCTTAAAGATAAAAGGAACTTACAACCTGTGTTCATGACACTACTCCTCTGTCTTCCTAGTTGGGGAGTCTTACCAAATATTTTTTTCCTTGAACCAACAATTTGTTCTCAAGTCATTCAGTCTTTTTCAAGTCAAGAGGAAATGGTTTATATTCCCTAATACTAAATCTGTATTTTTTTTTCTTCTATGCAGTTCTGTGTCCATCAGTCAGGACACCTGTGTAGGGAGTGTCCGCAGTTACTTTTCACTTGGTAAGGGAGCATTTAAGAGTTGGAGTGCAGTTCAGTAGCAGAACATTTCATGCCTATAATTCTTGTTCAGTCTCAACACCTGTAAAAAGTAGAGAACTAAAGGAGATATGTGAGTCTTTCCATAAAACAAGACTAAGACAAAAGGACTGAAACAAAAATGTAATAGAACCTTCGAGACTAAGCCCTTCTGCTTATCCAACATAAAGAACCTAAGGTCCCAAGAGGTTAGGTGATTTAACACAGCGAATAAAGAGCTGAGCCAGGATTAATAAAGAAAGCTCCCGTCTCCCACAACTGCTCTCACTTTTCCTAGTATCAGGTTGCACTGGCTTCATTCCTCTGCCTTTCACTGGAGAGCACGTTCATTCCCCGCTCTACCACTGTTTGGTCGTTACTAAGCACTGTTAAATGCAGGTAACAAAACGGTAACTTCTCTTTTCCACTATTAGAAGTATAAACATCGATGTGTAAAGCCTTAGAGAGTTTTGATATCGACTCTAATAAGTTATATATTTGCCTGAGATGAATATCGTAAAGGATTAAACATTCAAAACAGGCACTGCTACACAAATTTCCGCTTTAAAAACTCACAGCTGACTTTTCTTAGCGTCCCGGTGGGTAGGCAGAAGTTGCAGAAAGCAATCTGACCCAACTGATTGTATTGCTTATCAAAAGTTTGTAGAGTGACTCAAGTGTGGCTAGCATGTAAATCAAAGGGAGGTAAAACACAAAAAAAAAGTCGTGATCCTCGGGTACTGATCCCAAGGAGCTCCGAGGACTCTGGTGCCCATCGGTCCTCCAGGGAGCGCGGAGGACGCCCATCGGCCTCCAGAGGCGGGCGGAGAGCGTCGCGACCGAGCTGGAGGCGTGTCCGCACCGGCGAGCAGCCCCGAGCCAGGTCCTCGCTGCAAGCCCCGTCTCCTCTCAGCACCTCCCGGCCCCGGGCGCTCATCTCCATGCACCCACAGCCCGCGGTTACCTCGGGCTCGAGTGGTCCCGCCTGCACACCCACGACCCCCGGGCAGCTTCAGGTCTAGGGTGGAAGGCCAGGCAGCCCTCGGGAGAAGGAGTGACAACTGAGGAAAGCCGATGGACTCTAGGACCAGGATGGAGAAAGTCGGCGAGGTGAAGTTTACAACGGCCACTTCCGGGGGCTGGGAACACGCGACTGGGCTCCGGGCGGCCGCGGCTTTCTCCGCCTCCCAGGCCCCGCCCCGGCAGGCCCGCCCCTCGTCTCCGCGTCCCCAGCGTCCCGCCGCCCGAGCGGCGGCTCCAGGATACGCACTCGAGAGAACGCGGGCTCGCGCAGGAGGGGCCCGGCCCGCGGGAGCGTGCGCGCGCTCCCGCGCTGGGCGGACGAGGCTGCGCATGCGCCAGGGGTGGGGGTGCGCGTGCGCAGACCACCCAAGTGCCTCGGGTGCGCGTTTCGCCCAGTGCGCGCTCCTGTCCCGAGTTTTCTGTACCTTCTCCATGTCTCAGGACTCCCAGAACCTGCAAAAATGCAAATTTTCAGCGTCTAACCCCTTTTCCCTGCCTACCAAAGGGTGACAACTCGATCCTGCTCTGTAAAATGGCTTCCGAGCTGGCTCTCAGGGCCTGGGGACACCCTGGGACCGCGAGGGATGCCAGGGTCCCCAGGGAGAGTCTGCCCAGGCTTCAGCACAGGTGGCGGGCTCTCCCCAGTGCCCTCCGCTTGCACAAAGTCTGTCTTTTCCTCCCATCCTCTCTGATCTAGGCTTGAGTGGGAAGAATGCAGGTCTGATGCTGTTGAGCGTCTTTGATTATAAATATTACAGAGCCGGGTTCATTGGCAAGTAAGGCCTTGGAGCCTTGGCGAGTGCTCCATCCTGCTAGATATCAGCCCCTCCCACTCCTCTCCCACAATTTATAAAGAGCTTTGGTTCTCCCTGTAGCCGCTTCGGGGGATTGGAAAAGCAAATCCTCTTTTGTTCCATGGCTTTTTGAAAGCCTATTCCCCAAAGAACAATGCAAATTGGCGGGATTTTGATGAAAGGTTTTTATCCTTACCACCACTACCTTCTTCCACACGTGTTCATACAAAATGAACCTTTTATGCTAAACTTGTCCCCGGTTGGTTGTAATCAGCCTGAACCAGGTGTTGGGGTCGTCCTCGCCTGCTCTTGTTCTGAAAAGCCAACAGACCGAAGAGCATATAGATTAAATGATTCTTGCGCTGCTGAGAAACTTTAATTGGTTTGAGGCCAATCATTTAGTTTTTAGAAAGTCTTCCTTGCTTCTTAATACTTTAGCCAGAAGAGATAACTGCTTCAAAAAAGAGCTGAAGGAGACAAACAAAAGTAGCCCACTCTACTTAGGAATCAAATGAAGAATTATGATAAATAATATTAGAGCTTTTTTTTTTAAAAAAAAAAAGTGTGATTTAGTGTTATTATTTGAAAGGTTTTTGTTGGGGGAGGTGATTTTTTTTTTTGTTCTGTCCTGTTTTCTTGGTTTGGTTTGGGGTGTTTGAATTCCCTATGTAGCCCAATCAGGCCCCAAATTCTGGATCCCCCTGCCTCATCCTCCAGAGCACTGGGGTTACAAAATGTGGGCCATACATCAGTTTGTCGTGTCTTAGTAACATCACAGAAAAGAGTATTACATTGCAAGAATAAATGTTAAATGTATTACACGGTGCACTTTTTTAAGAAAAATTGGGTGGCATGAAGCCTTACAAACTTAATTTACTTCGTTTTTAGCATTTATAGAATAGAGTGCATGTACCCAACACAGAGCTAGGTGATAGAAATACATGGTATAAAGTACAAGTGCAATGGGAATCAGAGAAAGGAACTGTAAAAATCAACCTTGAGCACATGGGAGCAATTAATGGAGAATTTAAAGTCTAGTGTAGGAAGGTTAAAAAGTTCACCAAAGCAACAGCAAATTTGAACAGAAAAAAAGTAGGAGACTTTTGAAAAGGTAGATGCTTTGTGTGCAGGGGAGAAAAAACAAAAGATCTGCTAGAGAAATATCCTCAATTCGGACCATGGAGAGCCTTTCAGGTCATATTAGTAACAAAGCTAATGAAAATTATAGTAATTACATAATGAATCTGATCACCTCAGACTCCTTAGAGAGTTTCTGTTTTTGTCTGGTAGTTACAGGTCCGTTTTCTGTTGTCGCTTGTTTGGTTAAAGGCTGTCTATAATGAGATGCTCTCCAACCCACTTCCCTGTGGTCTTCGCCTGTCACTTCATCCCCTTCTCCTCTTTTCTGCCAATCCTTTTGAGAGACAATTAGAGTCACTCCCAGGACTCTCTCGGAGCAGCTTACCACCTCAGTAATGACCTCATTACCAAATCCCAGACCCCTTGGCTTTGCTGAGCTTCCTCAGATTTCTCTCCAGCTTATGTGCAGATATACCCATCTCTCATCTCTCAATCCTCACCATTTTACTGCTGGTAAAGTCTGCTCTCAGCCTTCATTTGGTACCTGGTAAGCGTATTCAGTCCTGCAGAAGTGAACCCTAGGTACTGGAGTTTGATTAGTTATATCTGAGTTTGAATTTTTAATTCCTGCTCGGCAGTTCTGCTTTAGTGTCCGGTTCAGTGGTGGTTGTTAGGTGTGTTTCCTTTCTTCTGTAGGCCGGGTCTCACTGCACAGCCTATGGTGGCCGGATGACCATCGCGTCTCACTTAGTCTCCCAACTATTACAATTACTGACTTGTGCCCTGACTGACAGCATTGACATCAAAATATCTAAAATTTAACTTTCCCAGTTTACCAGGACTTGCCCAAACTATCCTTCTGCCTGTTCATAAAGTTTAAACCCTCAGGCAAAAAGCATATATATCTTGTTTTGGTTTTTTTTTTTTGTTGTTGTTGTTTTTCTTTGTCTTCAAGATCTCAATTCCTACACCCAAGAATTCTGCCTTCTCTGTCTGCCTTCTCTTTCTTCCTGTGCCGGGTACTGAACACTTACTTGTGTCTGGCCCCTGCGTCTTCCCACCCAGATACTTGTAATCAGCTGCCCATTCCCTTCTCCTGTGCACTTAGCAATTAATATGGAGGGCATTTTAAAATTGACAGCTCTAAGAGGAAAGGATCCAAGAACAAACAATCAAAAGGAGGCCTCGAGGCACACGTGTGTTCGTGTGGCACAGGGGAGCGTTACAGCAGGCTGTACATGTGTGAGCCTCGGGCTGAGCTCCGGCTGGTTTGCCTCCCCTTGACCCCTCCATAACCTCCCCCTGAAGCCTCAAGCACCAGGTGCTTCATTATTGCGGTGTTTGGTATCAAGTCGTAGAACTGAGAAGCCTTGGTTAATTGTTGCTCTCGGTGGCTCTGGCCCTTTGTTCCCTCCATATGCTGTAACAGAACCCTTTCTGAAGCGTACATAGCTCTGACTATGTTGTTGTCTTGATTAATTCTAGTGTCACCACATTGCTTACAGGATAAAACTCAAACTTCTCCGGCATCAGTCAAAAGACACTGAGCAGCTTCCTGCTCCCTCTCCAGCACTGCTTCCTCTGGAGTACAACAAATCTTTCTCATTCTTACTGGTAACAGAAAACATACAACTGGCGATAACTGTGATAAAATGTATGCATATGCTGATAAGAAGTCTTAAAATACATGGTTTATTACAAAAGTTTTAAATGCATATACTATGTGCCAAGTTCTATGCTAAGTAGCTTCACATTTATTCCAATTTTCTTTCTTTGTTTCTTTGTTTCTTTGTTTGTTTGTTTGTTTCTTTTTTTCTTTCTTTCTTTCTTTCTTTTCTTAGACAAGATCTTTCTACATAGCTCTGGCTCTCCTAGAACTCATGCTGTAGACCAGACTGGCCTGGAACTTACAGAGATCCACCACCAGCCTTTGCCTCCTGAGTACTGGGTTAAAGACTTGTGTCACCATGCCCAGCATATTCCAATTTTTCAACAGCACTGTGGTGGCTTAAATGAGAAATGTCCCATATAGGCTTCCATATTTGAACACCTGGTTCCCAGTTGATGGCACTATTTGGGGATCCTTAGGAGGTGAGGTGTTGTAGAATATTATTTTAAGAAGTGTTACATTTGTTTATGTTGTGGAACATTTGTTTAATGATGCAATGATGTGTTGCATTCTTTTATGTTGCATTTGTTTAACTCTGTGAAGCTGTGTTACAGTGCCTGTCTAAAACACCTGATGGTCTAATAAAGAACTGAATGGCCAATAGCAAAGCAGAAGAAAGGATAGGCAGGGCTGGCAGGCAGGGAGAATATATAGAAGGAGAAATCTGGGGGGAGAAAAAGAAAGAGCAAGAGAACAAAGAGAGGAGGACCCTGGGGACTAGTCATCCAGCCACACAGCCAGCCACAGAGTAAGAATGAAAATAAGATACACAGAAATAAGAAAAGGAAAAAGCCCAGAGGCAAAAGTATGGTAATATTTTATTTGTATTAAAATGTTATTTGTATGTTAATAAATAAAGTTGCCCGAGGGTCAGAGCTATTAGCAAGCCATAGGAAAGCAGGGCAGTGGTGGCATACGCTTGTAATCCCAGCACTTGGTAGGCAGAGCTGGGTAAGTCTCTATGTGTTCAAGGATACAGCCATTATTGGATACACATGCCTTTAATCTCAATACCAATCATGGAAAACCTGGAGGCCTATACAGACAGGCTGTGAGGAGGCGGTCATGTGGTTGGGTTTACAACCAATGAGAAGGCAGGACAGGAACTCTATATAAAGACTTTAACACAGGGGTAGTTCTGGTTTGGAGAGGTAGGACCACTACAGGAGGAAGGGTAAGGTTTTAGCTCTTAGCTCTGACCTCTTGGCTTTCTTCTTTGCATTGGTTCTGTGTTTCTTATTTAATAAGAAGGTTGGTTACATCTACAGTAGACAGCATAGTTTAAGTTAAGAAAAGCTGACAAGAAACAAGCCAAGCTAAGGTCAGACATTTATAAGTAATAATAAGACTCCATGTGTGATTTATTTGGGAGCGGGTGGCAGGTCCCCAAAAGAGCAATAACAGCCAACAATAGTGAAGCCTTGAAGGAAGTACTCCAACCTCATTTACTCCCAGTTTGCTTTGTGCTTGCAGTTAACGTCGTGAACTCTCAGCTTCCAGCTCCTTCCACCATGCCTACCACTTGTTACCATGCTTCCCAACCCGCGATGGACTTTTATCCCTCTGGAAACGTATGCCAAACTCCTTCCATAAGCTTCCTTTAGTCAGGTATTTTATCACAACAACGGAGAAGTAGCTACAAGTG